GGGTGCTACGTATGAATGGATATAATGTTGTGCTGCTGTTGGTGATGGTGATGGCGGCAGCAGGCTGTGCTGGCGATAGGGATGTTCAGGTTGACGTTGGAAACATACTTTCTGCGCTGTAAAGAGGAGTGCAGGAGAGGCCAATCTTACTTTGCCAGCGCTTTTGCCAGCAAGGGCTGCTTGGTAGGCCGGCCGTATGGCATCCTTCCCCTCTGTGACCTGCCCGTCTCCTCCCCAACTTTACCTTCAGTGTCGTCCCCCTCCCCTCCTTTGCCCTCCCCTCGTCCTTCCTCCCTGCCCGGCTCCCTGCCCCCATACCATCTAACACGCACTTTCGCGCTCGATGATTACGACGGCACTGGCACGGAGAAAACATTGCTTGCTACAGTCATGGGGCACCACGGCAATCTGCAAATGAGAGCCGCTAGGGTCACGCTGTTTTGAGTAAAGCCTGCTGTCGCCGGCATCCCGCAATTACACCCTTAGCGGCCGAATGCCTTGCACATATCTTTTATTTCGCGTGCACACATCTTTACATATACATATACATATTTAACAGGCGTGTGTATTCATATAACGGCGCACTGGGCTCGGGGGCCGAGGGGCAGAACCTCGACAGCAAATGTGGGTACCGGGCCAGGGCCCGCCTCCTGTGAGGCCTAAAGTTGCTCTAGGAAGCCCTCAGACAGCAATCCCGGCGGCCCCAGACGGACTCGAGACACCCCCAAGACGCCGTCCAGGGGTCTCTGGCGACGTACGATGCGTTTTAAACTGCCCCGGAGGCCTCCAACACGCCCCAGGAGGCCTTTACGATGCCGCCCACAATCGCCCCGAGAGGGCAAAATCGTTGATGTTTATTTTTTGATTTTTTACCCGTTTTTTTGCATTCTCGCTGTTTCGTGTTTCTGGCGCTAAAGCACCGCCCAAGAGGCTCCCAACACCGTTCCAAGACTGCCCAAGAGGCCCCCAAGAGGGCCCCAAGACGGCCCAAGAGAGCCCCGAGACGGCCAGAGCCGTCCAAAACGGCGCAAGAGGGTCCCAAGAAGGCCCCAAGAGGGGCCCAAGAGAGGGAACGCGAACTGAAATATCAAGCTCTCCGCCCCAAGATGCCCTCAAGAGGCCCCAAGAGGCCCTCAGGGAACCCCCAAGAGGCCCCAAGAGGCCCCAAAGAAACCCCCAGAGGCCTCCAAGAAGCCCAAAAGAGTCTCCAAGAAGCCCAAAAGACGGCACCCAAAAGGCTTCAAAATTCGTTCTAAGAGGCCCCCGAAGACATGCCAAGAAGGTCCCATGACGACTTCAACAAGCAGTCCAGGATGCTCCGAGGAGGCCCCAAGAGGCCCCCAAAGCCCAAGAGGCCTCCAGAGGCCCCCAAGCGGCCTCAAGCAGCATCCAGGAGGCCGGAACGAGGCCTCTCAGAGCCCAGCGGTCCAGGCGGGGGCCGAACGAACATTTCGAGCCTTGGCCTCCCGGAAGCCCAAGAGGAAACCCTACGTAATTCGCAAGACCCCCCCCGACGCTCCCGAGCCGCCCACATTCATATGCATACCTATACGACCACCCTTCAGGTGATAAGGAGGTTGTGGGGGGGGGAGGGGGGGGTAGCCAACATCTGACTCAATCGATCTCACTGTCGATCTCACTCATCGGGACACCACGGGACACCACGGGACACCACGGGACACTTGTCGATCTCACTATCGATCTCACTATCGATCTCACTCAACGGGAAACCACGGGACACCACGGGCCACCACGGGACACCACGGAACACCGCGGGACACCTGGCGATCTCACTATCGGTCTCACTATCGATCTCACTCAACGGGACACCTCGGGCCATTTGTCTTGACTTCGCCCTACCAACGGACGGAGGAGAAACATTTGTCTTGGCTTCGCTCTACGAGCTGCGGGTTCATTCCTCTCGCGCGCCCACGCAGCTTCGCCTCGCCCGCACGCGCGACACGAACGAAACGAAACGATTTCCCGGTTGGGGGTCTCCGTTCCGCTGCGATCTCACCCCCTACCTTCGATACACATGCGGTCGTTATAAGCACATTCGTTCATGCATACACACACCTATGTGTGTATATCTATATCTGTATATACATATATATATATATATATATATACACACACACATACCCGTGCACGAGGCCCGGGCGCCTGGGGCCCGGGCCAGGGGCGGGGGCGACATGGGAGGACCGGGGCCTCTGGGGCCCCCCCGAGACAGCCCCAGACAGCCACCAAACGCCACCCGAGAGCCCCAGGAGGTCTTCCAAACGTCCAAGACGACCCAGAATCCCCGAACTGTCGCCCCAACGCGCCAGTTGAGACGTCTTGGAGCGTCGGAAGCTCGAAAAGTGGAGAACCCACACAACATGAAACACTTAAGGAACATCCGTGATTTGGGCTCCTCGGCCCTCTTGGAAAGGCTCTTAAGAGGTCTGTTGTGAAGTCTTGGGCGTTTTTCGGCCAACTGGAGGCCATCATGGGCGGGTCGATTGTTCGGCGATTCGGGGCCCTCTTGGATCGTCTTGGGGGCCTCTTGGGGCCCTCTTGGCCCGTCTTGAGGCTTGTCTGTGCCCGAAACAGTCATGCGACAGCATGCCACGGGCCCCGCGGGGTTCGCGGGAGGCACCCAGGGGATTTGGCAATGTGGGGTCCGGGCGCTTTGAATAATCCTCAGGATTGAGAACTGAGGCTCCGGGGTTGGGCGCGGCGGGACCTGGGGACACTCCGCTTCGTGCCACAGGGGCAGGGTGGTTGATTATAGCGTACCATACTTGTACGACCACCCGTCGCCATCTTCATAGTCTTCAGGACTGAGGATGGAGGCTCTGGGGTTGAGCACGGGACCCGGGGACGCTCCATTTGGGGCCGCAGGGGCACGGTGGCGGATTGTAGTCGGCGTCACCCCAACATATTTATATTATATGTGCGTAGACCCTCCAGGGACGACGCGCGCACCGAGAAATCTTATACTATATGTGTCGCGGCGGGCACTTTCTGGCCACACCGCTCGGGAAATGATATACTACAAGATGGGTCTACTATATGTTCGGGTCGGACGCGCGCCTCCAAGGAGAACATGCAGTACTCGGATGTCTCTGTGCGTCCCACGTAGTGTGCCATACATATACGGCCCCCCCGTCAGATGATAAGGAGGGCGTGCGTGGGGGGAACCAACTGACGACACCTGCGATGACTGTGATGGTGTCGATGCTGGTGATGCGCTCGTGAGCTGGTGACGATCCGACAGGGACACCATGTGGACACCATCGGGGCACCACGTGGACACCATGTGGACACCATCGGGGCACCATCGGGATACCATCGGAACACCATCGGGACAACGTCGGGACACCATCGGGACGCCATCAATTCCAATATCTATCTATCTACCCGTCTCACAGGACAGCCATCGGGACAACCATCGGGGCACCATCGGGGCACCATTGGGACACATGTGGACACCATCGGGGCACCAACGGGACAGCATCGGGGCATCATCGGAACATCATCGGGACACAATTGGGACACCATCGGGACACCATCGGGACGCCATCGAGACACAACCGGGGCAACATCTAGACAACGTTGGGACACCATCGGGACACCGTCGATTCCCCATCTATTTATCATTCGATCTCACGGGACAGCCATCGGGCAACCATCGAGGCACCATCGGGACACCATGCGGACACCATCGGGGCGCCAACGGGACACAATCGGGGCACCATGGGGACATCATCGGGACACCATCGGGACATCTTCGGGACACCATTGGGACACTTTCGCGACACCATGTGGACACCATCTGAACACCATCGGGACTCTATCGAGGCACCATGGGAGACACCATCGGGACACCATCGGGACGCCATCGAGACACAACCGGGGCAACATCTAGACAACGTTGGGACACCATCGGGACACCGTCGATTCCCCATCTATTTATCATTCGATCTCACGGGACAGCCATCGGGCAACCATCGAGGCACCATCGGGACACCATGTGGACACCATCGGGGCGCCAACGGGACACAATCGGGGCACCATGGGGACATCATCGGGACACCATCGGGACATCTTCGGGACACCATTGGGACACTTTCGCGACACCATTTGGACACCATCTGAACACCATCGGGACTCTATCGAGGCACCATGGGAGACACCATCGGGGCACCATCGTGACACCATCAGGACACCATTGACACCATCGGACACCATGTAGACACCATGTGGACACCATGTGGACACTACCGAGACACCATTTGGACACCATCGGGGCAACCATCTGAACATCATCGGGGCACCATGTCGACACCATCGGGACACCATCGGGACACCATCGGGACACCATCAGAACATCATCGGGGCACCATAGAGACAACCATCGGGGCAACCATCGGGGCACCATCGAGACACCATCAGCACACCATCAGGAGACCATCGGGTCGCCCCCGGGCCACCGCCGGCCAATCAGGAGGCACATTATCATTGGGCCCGGCTTTGCCTTAGCCAGGGCGGGTTCATTCCGCCCGCCCGCGCAAGCAGCTTCGCCTCGCCCGCACGCACGACACTACACGAAACCGAAACCGATTCCCGAGTAGGGGTTCTCTGTTTCGCTTCGATCTCACCTCCCAACCTGCGACGGGAGACCCTACGGGAGACCATACATGAGACCAGAGACCACGAGCCACGACCAGAGACGACGACCTCATACCACGAGCCGCAGAGACCACGTGCCATCGGATTCGGATCGCGCGGGCCACCCGCCAGCCTAGGAGGAATGATGACAGATCCTTGCAGACAGGCTGCTTCGGGACAAACTGGAAAGCCGTCCGATCCCTCCCTCTCCCCCCACCGACGGTCGCCCGCAGGCTCCTGAGCCTGCGCAGGTGCCAAAGAATCAACAGTTTGTGCCCTCGATGTGCGATTCTCGCCCTCCTAGACCGTCGACCACCCCTTTCCGTCATCCGCCGCCTCCCGGCCAGGCTGCCGGCGTGGCAGAGCTGAGATTTCAGATCATCGCCTCGCGGCGGGAGTCCATGCAGGCTGCGCGCGCCCGCTTCGCCCGCTCCCCCCCTTCCCGGTGCGCTCCTCTATTCATGGCGCCAACATCGTAGAGCGGAGTCCTTTCGGAAAACGAAAGGATGGGCCCGGAGTGTCCTGGACTATTTCGTTCGTTCCAGATTTCGAGGTGAATTTCGTGCGGTTTTTTGCCGGGAACGCAGATACAAAAAACCCATGTGAAAGTCATGCCATTTTTCGCTCGCCGTTTCGGGGCTTTGCGTTGGCAGAAATCCGCGCAATATCCTCTGCAGCACGTCTCGCCACAACAACTTCCCTGCCCTGCCCCGCGTGGTATATTCTTGGGTGGTGTGTACATCGTGCATGCTTTTACTCGGGCCGGGCGAAAGGGGGGGATTGGGAAAGGGGGGGGTACAAAATTTGCTGCATGCAGCTGGTTTCGGCCTCACCGAGGGGCCACTTCCTCGATACATGGGCGCCTCCCGGCGCAAGGAGGCGCCGGGAAAATCAGCTACGTGAGCTGATTCTCAACCCCCCCCTTTACTATCCCCCCCTTTCGCCCGACCCGATCTCTGCAATCCCCCAGCATCGAGGGGCGACCTGAAGTCTCATACCTCAAGGGGGACGTGGCCGGTAGAACTTGCACCCCCTGTACGCCCCCCAAACACTCCGTGCTGGCAACGCCTCGGGAATGCGGGTCCGAGATGAAGAGCGCACCTGGGAGATCGAGCTGAAGATCTTGGGTGGGTGGGTTGGCAGCGCGCATCGCTCTCCCGTGACTCGTCTCATCCCGGAAGTGACGACCATGCGCGCAGGCGGGCGGCCGGCAATGTGGCAGAACGAATCCGCCGTGGGAAACTGACACCCGAAACGCAACTGACAGGCGACCATGTCCTCTAGATCCACTGGCAGCGCGGGGGCGTGACACCCCGACCAACGACCGCACTGAACGCGCCAATGGTTGCCTGCGCCAGATACGGCCACTGAGCGGCCCAAGTAGCCAAGCCCCCTGGATGGCCAGGCAATCGCTCACCGACAGCGCGGGGGCGTGACTCCGCGGAGCAATGACGCACTGAACGCGACTGCTGGCTGCCTGCGCCGAGAACGGCCACTGAGCGACCCAGACTGCCCTGACCCCTGAGTGGCCAGACAGCCGTGCACTGGCAGCGCGGGGACGTGAGACCCCGGCCAACATGACGCACTGAACGCGACTGCTGGCTGCCTGCGCCGAGGACAGCCGCTGAGCGGCCCTGCACGACCAGGTCATATGACGACGTTGGGCAGGTGCAGATCTCCGAATTTCCGGAAGGCCTCGCCCTCCTCCAATTCGTGCCACCACCACCTCCTCCTCCTCCTCCTCCTCCTCCTCCACCTCCTCCTCCTCCTCCTCCTCCTCCTCCTCCTACCTCTCCTCCTCCCTCTCCTCCTCCGCCCTCTCCCAGCTGTAGTGGTGGTGGTGGTGGTGGAACATCGGCTCATCACCCTCCGAGCGCGGCGACCACGACCCCCCCTCCCCCCCCCCCGTGGGGCATCTGCGCCTCGGCCCAGACCCCCTCGCCTCGGCGGAGCGCCACCCGCGCCTCCGCCGCCTGCGCTCGCCCCGCCGCGCGGCCACGGCGCGCCCGACGCGGCCGCTCGCCCCCGTGCCCGGTGAGCGGCGGCAGTGCGAATCGAGGCGCACCCATGTGGGCCTCCTGTCGACTAGACGTACGAGTGACCTTTCGCCGGAGTGACATTTGGTGCAGGCACAGATGGGTCCCCAGATGGTTGAAAACGAAGCAGCAGCAGCGGCTTGCACGCCCAGGTTTGGTCCCCCCGCGGCCCCCCAAAAGTCGCGCACCAGAGGTCACTCTTACCCAGGGTCACTCTTGCGTATAGCCGATCCTGGATAGGGTCCGAGCAGATGGGGTCGGAGGATCGCGCCGCATCGCCGATGCATCAGCGATGCGGCTCGATGCGGAGCCCGATTTTCTCCACGACGACGTCGCCGATGCGTCGCCGACGTCGCCGATGCATCGCCGATGCGTCGCCGATGCGCTGGTGATGCGGCGCGATCCTCTGGCCCCATCTACTCCGACCCCATCTAGGAGGCCTCTGCGCTCGCCCTCATGCCCGGTGTGTGACGGCAGTGCAGGTCGAGGCGCACCGAGACATGCTCACGTGCTGACAAACATCAGGACGGGATGCTCTGGGCCGTCCTGGGCCTCTTGGGGGCCTCGCCAGGCCCCCCGCGCCCTCCAGCAGAACAACGCGGCGCAGGGCGAGAAGCTGCTCCGAGTGCAGAGGTGGTCGGGATCTCCTGGGGCCCCGTGCCTACAAAGTGAGCAGCACGTCGCATGCCTGGGCACATCTGTAGCTACCGTGCGCCTGTCCTGGCCCAGGCGAGGGCTGGTGCCTCTTTCGCCTGCGCTGGCGGCCGCCCTCGCCGTTGAGCCGACGCGCTGTACGCTGAGCAGGCCAGCGTTTGCCTGCTTGCCCCCAGCCCCGGTATGGCGGCCGTGGGGCCCTCCGCCGCCGCCGCCGGGGCTCCCGCCGAGGCTCACCGAGCGCGCTCCACTGCTCGCAGAGTGACCACTCGCAAGCGCCCTGAAGAAAAGGATCTGCTCGCCTCGATGTAACGGGGCGTGAAGCCTCCTCGGCGGGTCCGGGCCATGCACGAGCAGCTGCTCTGCTGCTCTGCGAGCAGTGGAGCGCACTAGAGAGAGAGAGAGAGGCCACACCCCCTCCCCGGCCGCACACTCTGCCGCGCCCGAGGCCCGCAGCCCGAGAGCCCGCCCATCCCGCTCAGGGCCGTGCGGATTTGCCACCGGCGGCCTCTCGCAGATCTGTCGGCGGCCCAGTCGCGCTCCTCTGGCTCTGTGCTGCTCATGCCTTGTTGGCACGCCTCTTCCCGAGCTCATCCTTGACGTAGCCCTGGAGCGCTGGCGAGACGACCGCGTTCCCGCGCAGCTGGTCCGAGCCGAGCAGTGCGCAACTCTGTGCCTCTCAGGTGGGGTCGGCGGATCGCGCCGCATCGCCGATGCATCGGCGATGCGGCTCGATGTGCAGCCCGATGTTCTCATCGCCGACGTCTCCAATGCGCGATCCTCCGACCCCATGCACTCGGACCCCATCTCGTATCGTCGGTTCCAGGTCGGCGATTGCCTCCCAAGCCCCTTCCTTCCATCTTTCCTCTCATCTCCTGCTCCTCCTCCTCCTCCTCCTCTTCCTCCTCCTCCTCCTCCTCCTCCTTTATTGTTTGTTTGTTTTCCTCCTCCTCTTCCCCCTTCTCCTCCTCTTCCCTCCCATCTCCTCTTCCCTCCCCTCTCCTCCTCCTCCTCCTCCTCCTCCTCCTCCTCCGCCTCCTCTTCATCCTCCTCCTCCTCTTTCTCCTCCTCCTCCTCCTCCTCCTCCTCTTCCCTCCCATCTCCTCTTTCTTCGCATCTCCTCCTACTCCCCCTCTTCCCTCCCATGTCCTCCCCCTCCTCCCCTTCGTTTCCCACCATCGTTGCCCCTCAGTGCTCCTTGGGAGGGGGGCAGCTGTCTGCACAGGGTGCCACGGGATCCAGTCCCGCGCACCTCTGGGGCAACATCCCCCCCGCAGTTTGACCTTGTTTGCCACCCCGCTCTGGGCTAGGAGCGCTGCGAGCAAGATGCGGGCACCCTTGTCGGTGGAATGAGCACCGTGAAAGTATGTGTTTCTATCTCTCTCTCTCTCTCTTTTTCTCTCTTCTCTCTTCCACTATTTTTGTTGTTTCTCTCTCTCTCTCTCCTCTCTCCTTCTCTCCCTCTCTCCCTCTCTCTCTCTTTCTCTCTTTGTTTTCTCTCTCCCTCTCTCTCTATATATATATATCTCTCTCTCTTCTCTTCTCTCTGCCTCTCTTATCTCTCCTATCTCTCCTTTGTGTGTTGTTTGTTTGTTTGTTTTGAGGATGCACTTTTTCTCTGTCTATCCCTCGGCTGTGCTCGTTTTTGGTCGTTACTGTTTTCTCATACATGTCTTGTCACTGATAGCTTTCCTTCCCTCTCCGCTTCCGCCTTCAACTCCTCTTCCCCGTCCTATGTTGGCTACATCTCGGCGTCGCAAGAGAGATCGCCACGGACATTCTCGCCCCGTCTTGCATTTCCGGGGCCCCTACGCATGGATCTGGGTCCGGACTCCGGACCCAGATTCATGCGTAGGGGACCCATCTCTGACCCATCTCCGGACTCCGGACTCCGGACCCATCTCCGCGGGACCTCCGGACTCCGGAGGTCCCGCGCAGAGATGGGGCCGAGAGCTACAGTCGTGACTTTTCGCGTCGCCGACTATCCCGAGACGTTGGATGTCGGGGTTGGTCCCCTGCCCCGCCCTTCCAAGCACGGTTCGTTTTCCGGTATTGGGGGCCCAAAGAATATACACCACCACCACGTCGATTCCACCTCTCTCCTCTTTCCAGCGAGAGGGAGGGGGGGAGGGAGGTGGTGGTGGTGGTGGTGAATTTTTTGGGCCCCCCATAATGCATTAGAGCGCATCCGACAAGACAGCGCCACCGGCATCGTGGAGGCACGGGTGGACCCGGGCGGGTCGCGGCTCGCTCTCCTCGCGAACCCGTGCTGCAGGCGGAGGGGAAGAGGGAGCCAAGTGCAGGAGACACAAAGGAGGAGGGGCTCGGTGCTTGCCAGAGGGCGGGAGGTTCCTCTTGGACGGCATGTTTTTCGGGGGTCTTTGCCAGGACCGACTTCGACCGAGCTGCAGCACATTGCCGTGACCAAGGTTTCTTCTTACATTCGTTCGCCACCAGTGCAACCGTGCCGAGCAGTCCAGAAGAGGCGGAGTAGTCTCATTCTCCGAACGGGGTTACGTTCCGCGTGATGTTTGTATGGTCTCGCGCGGAGTACGTGCCCGATCCGGGATTGAACTCGTAGAGGTTTAAGCACCATCCGCATTCGAACTATTCCACCGCATGCCGCGAGCCACATAGGATGCCAGGAATGTCCAGGAGGTTTGAGGATTTTCCCCGTCGCATTTGAGCTCCAATGTTCGAGCCACATAACGCGCGTTATGTGGCCTGGTGGGTGGGTGGGTTTGCCGGCACATAACATCACACAGTCGTGTCCAGCCGCTCGAATGCTTTTTCTGAAAGCACTGCCCCTCGTGCTATTCTGGATCATCGCTGATGTAGTGGCATGGCCTTGCAGCTGCGATCGCCGCAAGGCGCGTTGACACCGCAATGCCCGCTCTCACCACGCATAATGATGATGCAGCGTCCTACGCATGCACCACATCTCCGTAGCCCTAGCTCAAGGTGACCGGTCTGAGGCGCGGGAGGCGGCCAGCCATGCATTCCGCGCCCGCGGCTCCGCCGCGCGATGAAGCTCGTGTCCCCGCACGACGCGATGATCCTGCTGAGCAGTCAGCGGGTGCAGCTCATCGACGTGCAGGACTTTTGATCGATCTTTGGGCTTCTTCCCTCTTCGCGCTACGTGCCTTCGCTGAGGTTCGATGACCAGGCTCTCCAGGTGGCTCGCGAGTTCGGGGCCATCGCGAAGAAGCTGGTCTTCTACTGCCTGGGGCACGAAGCCGTGCGTGCCGAGAGCTGCGCTGGGATCCTCTAGACGATTCTGCAGGGTGTTATCCCCGACCATGTCTGCGACGGCTGTGTGCTTCCGGGCGGCTTCGAGTCGTGGAGGAGGCACGTCGCGAGCATGGGCGGCGAGGGCCTTTACATCTGCAGGGAGGTCCTCGCCGCCGCGGGCATGGGGGAGAGCAGCCGCGGATGGGGGGTGGGCGTGCTACGTTAACGGGCTGTGCCTGGATCACGCCAGCGTGTGCTCCACGGACGTGCCGCCCCGCCAGCTCCAGCTCCAACCAGGCCACTGCGGTGCAGCGGGTCCGGCACCGGGAGAGCGCGGAACCGCGGCCTGGACGAGTGGCAGCACTGGCTGCCCAGTGCCTCTGGCTCCGAGTGGAGGAGCCTCGCGCCGACGCCCGCCGCCGCCGTGCGAGAGGAGGCCGGTGAGGTCCAGGCGGCCGCGGAGGCGGTCCTGGCGCCGGGACCGTCGGAGAGCTCCGGCCTCCAGCGGGAGTCGTGGCAGATATTGCCGTCGGTTTTGGGAGCGAGGTGTGCGTCTTGAGCGGCGGCGCCCAGAAGTGGGTGGATGCAGTGCCCTCCCTCGCTCCCTCCCTCCCCCGAGCCGGGAGATGGTGATGCTGCAGTTTTCCCGCGACCAGAGGTGCTGTCTCAAGAGGCTGCCGCTCAGCTCCCCGGAGCTCCAGCGGAAGGTCCTGCCTTGTGGGAGGTGGCGATCGTCGTTGGCCAGTTGGACGAGCAGTGGCGTCGCAGAAACACACACGTGGAGGGTCAATGCGCTTTATTGTGAGGCGCAGCAATGGATCATACATGGTGTGGCCGTTGGTCTCGCCATGGAGGGGGCGGGTGTGGGAGAAGAACTCGATTGGGTGATGGGGCGGGTGGAACAAAGAATTTGCTACACTACTTACGCCCAGAGGTTTGGTGGGAGCTGCGTTAACTTTGTATGTATGAGGCTTGCGCGGTGCACAGAGTCCTTACCGGAACTCCTTTGAATATTTTTGCTGCGGGCCTCTCCTGGGACGCACTGTCGCGTGTACCCGGTCGCACCTGGGATCAGGCAGCTTTGCTCTGGCGTCTCGACGGACGGAAGTGTTCCGCGTCGCTTCGTGGATTCGGTTGCCGACTGCTATATTCGGATGCAACTCCTGGGAGGTAAAATTCTGATTTTGCCCTGGTCCGAAATCGGGCCTAATCAGGCTCAATCCCGTTCAATCCGGCTTAATCCCGCCTCTAGTGCATGGGTCGGGTGATTTTACATGCGGTGCGCGAGTATCTCGCGTTGTTCAGATTCTATCGCGCGCCGTGCTTCTCCAGGTGTCACCGCGATCCGTTTTCGCTAACGTGTTTTAAAATCGACCACCGCATTCGGCAGTTCTGGCACGCAGGTTTACGCGCCAGCTTCCATACCACAGTGTACTTCAGCGCACGACTTCCAGCGAAAAAAACCTACGCATGCACCACACCGCTTGTTCACATCACAATGACTGGGTGCATGGCAGTGCTCCTGGGCACCACGCCACTGTGTACACAACTGTGTGCACAACTGCTAACACAACGCCACACCGCCTTTACACCATACAATTGCGGCCACATAAGCACCTTCCGCGTGCACCACAGCGCCTGTGTACAACACGATGCGCGTGCACCCCATAGCAGCTGCGCGCAGCGCGGCCACTGGCGCCTGCGTGCACCACAGTGTATATGTATACCACAGAGCCCGCGTACACTTCGAGGGCCCCAACGAGGCCCATAAACCCAAACTCTGTTCGTGGGGGGGGGGGGGGCGCGAACGTATCACATTGAATCTGCAAATGTATTGTGGTTATTGTTTTCTTGGTCTCGCCTAGGTACCAGTCTGGCAGGTTTTTCTAGCTGCGTGCGGCTGCGGCGGCGAGGATCTTTCCAGAGGGGGAGAACCCTTGGCGCCTCGAGTTCATTTGTGCCGCGGTTTCGTTCGAGAAGGCCCTGGCTCACGAGGCACCCCTCAAGACGGCTCCATGATGGCCGAAGAAACGCCCCAAATTGCCCAGGGGGCTTCCGAGAGGAGGACCACCAACCGACAGCTCGAGCCTTCCGCCCCAAGACGCCCCCAGGAGGCTCCAATAGGCGCCCAAGAAACTCCTGAAGAGGTCCAAGGTAAACCCAAGAGCGCGCCCAAGAGGGCGCCCAAGAGGCTCAAATCCTTCCCTTCCCCTCATGGCCCCCCGCATCTGCCCATCGTCCTCCTCGTCCTCCACGTCCTCCTCGTCCTCCTCGTCCTCCTCGTCCTCCTCGTCCTCCTCGTTCTCCTCGTCCTCGTCCTCGTCCTCGTTCTCCTCTTCCATCTCCTCATCCTTCTCCTCCTCCTCCTCCTCCTCCTCCTCCTCCTCCTCCTCCTCCTCCTCCTCCTCCTCCCCCTTCTCCTCCCCATCCCCTCTCCTCCTAGCGCCCGGCCGTAATCCTGCCCAGTGAACTGGTCATTGTGGGGCGCGGTGGTAGTACAGGAATTGCTCCAAGAAGCAGCGGCGTACCAGTCACTGGAGTACCGCTCGCCACGTAGCAGCCCACGACAAATAACAAACTCTGCGCACCCCTGTGCCTGCGTACGAATGCACCCCTGTGCCTGTGCACACCGCCAGCATTTACATCACAGTGCCCGCGCACACCACAAAACCCGCGTACACTCCAGGTGCCTCACGTTGTCAAGCTCCAACAAACCATGGCCGACCCGAAAGTATCGAATTCAATCTGCAAGTTGGTTGTTTTGAACATTATTTATTCTAAAGAATAATTATTGTTGGGCCCCCTGGTGCGCGCCCCCCCTGCGCCGCCTAGGCCGCAGCTACATTTTCATCATTTTCGTGAGGAAGCCTCAGAAAAGAGGGTGTGTACAGGATCCGGTTGTTTTGTTGTAATCCGCTTTCCCTTGCAAAAAACAATAGAAAATGACATTTCTTGTTCTAATATAATCAAATTTCAAGAATCCCTTGCAAAAAATAAGGTAAAGTGGACATTCGCGCGCGCAAGACGAAATCCTTCCAAAACCTTAGTGTTCGCAGCGATTTTAACATAAAAACATCAAAAAACCAATGGTTTTTCAACAAAAAATTGTCAAAATCTCATCCCGCGCGCTCTTGCGGATTCGTAGGAAACCCAACACTTTTTAAACATTTCTGTCAAACGGGCTTTTGCGAGCAACTTTTTCGAACTTCTGCGACAACGGTTGCGCACCTGCCAGGGCCATCATCCCTGTCAAATAATACCATGCGGGACACATTCGTTTTTTCTTCGCGCGCGCACGCCGTCGTCGTCGGCCGCGGGGCCCTGAATAGTAGCCACGGTCGTCCGCATGCCACGAAGTGAAGTGTCCGAACGTCATAGGGCGGGAAGCTGGGTGTGGGTGGTGGCGAAGAGTCGTTTGGAAATTTGGTAGAGCTTGAACCGGCCCCCCCACAAAGTGGGGGTATTGCCCGCCTCCTATGAAAACCCTGGCACTGGTGAGAACGGAGTGTCCCCACGTGCTAGTAATTGTTGTTGTTGTTGTTGTTGTTGTTGTTGTTGTTGTTGTTGTTTTTCTTGGCCACGGGCACGGGTCCTAAGCCCTGTTGCCTCCACGCACAACAGTACCAATGTATGCCACAATGCTAGACACCACCACGCCTGTACGCACCACAACTGCCGCCGCAGCCAGCGTGTGCGCTATGCACACCGAACAGCTTGTCTTTTCCGATGTCTGTGTGCCGCCGCGCCTGTGGGCACCACAACATACTGCGCGCGCCACACGCCTCTACATGTCATAAGCACATGCCTGCGCACATACGAACAGCATACTTGTGCGCTAAGCCACAAGCGCTGCTGCAGCGGGGGTGGGTGGGGCGGCGGGCGTTATGTTATCTACTTGGTGGGTGGGTGTGTTGGAGGTCACATAGCGCGTGTTATGTGTTCGAGTGAAAAATCAGCTCTTATCCAAAGGTTGCCGCCTCTGCCGCCGATCCCTATCGAGCGACTGGTTGGAATCGTCATGGTTGGCGGTAACTCAGGTTACCGGTCGGCCGATTGGGCGTGCTTGTAACGATTATCCAGGAGCAGCGAAGGCCCCATCCCCGAAGGGGGAGAATGGGGTTGGACAAGGAATCGCGGTAGACCATTGGCGTCGGAGCCATCTTCGTTTTTTTGTGTCCTGAGGTGCCGCCTTTGAGGCGGTCTGAGACCTTCCTGCAATTGTGGGCTTGGTGATGCCGCGCGATATATAGTTCAGTTTATTTCGCTTCGATATCCTCGCCGTTGTCCTGAGGCGGTCCCGCCCCGTTGGCTTGAGTCATTCTCGCAGTTATCGGTTTGAGGCACGCGAATGGTCTACCCAGTTTCTCCTTCCACACTCTCGCTTCTCAGGGCCCATGGATGGCCTGACCTGAGCTGGTCCAGTTAGGTTCGCTTCACACTTCGTCACATCTCTGGGCTCGGAATCGACTTGGCCTGCGCTCGTCCAGCCATCTTCGCCCGATGCGTCCTCGTTATCCTGGGGTAGTCGATGCTCTTGCTTCGCTGTATCCGATATCGTTCCTCGCGGTTCTGGGTTTGCAGCTGCCGTGGGCTGCCGGAAGGTGGTCGTGGATCTTATTGAGGGGGCGAAGGCTCGTGGGCATCGCGCGTAGCGGAACGTGGACATGCGGCTGAGGTTCGGACGAAGGCCATGGATCTTCCGGAGGAAGGCGTGCCTCCAGAGGTCATGTGCCTGGTGCCCCTGGACGACGCGCTGGACAATATCCAAATGCAGAAGGCAGCGACGCCCGTGCCGAAACCCAGCGAACTACAAACAACTACAAATATTTTAAACAACGCCAAGGCAAACGCCGTGGTGCGCGAAAAAAGTAGCTTCGACGAGGGAGACATCAATGCGCAACGGATCGAGGCCGTGCGGGCATTCGTGCAGCGGCTTGATGAGAATTGCGTTCATGACGGGGTCGACGAAATGTCGATTTCCAGCGGGGGGGAGGGTGGCGAAGAGGAGATGGAACAGGCAAGGAAGCGCCCCCGCAGGTTCGAGGGGTCGGCCGCGGGCACGGACGAGGC